CGAGCGCGACTTCGTGCGGCGGTACTTCCCCACCAACGACTCGGAGCGCTTCTCCGCCGAGCGGCTGCCCACCGAGGGCGCCTTCGCGGCGCTCATCGCCGTGGCGGCGGGGGGCGCCTCGGTGCTCGACCGGCCGGCGCGGGACGAAGTGCCGCTGCTGGACGGCGCGGTGCGCGACCTCGGCTACGAGCGGCTCTGCGCCCGCAGCGGCGACGCCTGCGCCGGCGCCAACCCGCTGCTGCCGCTGCTGGCCAACGGCAGCGCCCTGCCCGAGCTGCCCTTCCCCGGCGGCGGCGGCGGCGGCGGCGGCGCCTTCCTGGGCACCGCGCTGGGCGGCGTGCGGACGGACGGCCGCGGGCGCGTGGAGCGGGCGCGGGCCGTGAAGCTGCTGTATCACCTGCGGGAGGACGGCGGCGCGGCGGGCGAGAGCCGGGCGTGGCTGGAGGCGTTCCTGCGCGACTTCCCGGCGAAGCTGCGGGAGCTGAACCTCACGGCCGTCGAGGTAGCGCCGGGGCGGGGGGCTGCGGCTGCGGCGGAGCGGGGCCGAGCGGCGTGCGGGGCGGAAACGCGTCCTCTGACCTCGCGCTGTTTTCGCTCCAGGTGACGTACTTCACCTCGTTGTCCAGACAAGAGGAGTTTGAGGGAAACACCAAGAGCGTGATCCCGCTCTTTTCCATCACGTACTTCCTGACGATCACCTTTTCGGTCGTCTCTTGCCTGAGGTAAAGTACCTGCAAGCCCCGGGGCTGCGAGCAGCCGCCTCCGCGCTTCCGCTCCGGGTCCGGCGGGGTTTGGGCTCCTTCGGCTGCTGCTGAGCGAAGTGGCTCTGAAGACGCCGCCCTCGTGAAATGTAGCCATAAGCAAAACGCATTTCTTTGCTCCTTCTCTCCAACTAGGCGTGCATCCTGTCTGCTTTTGTGGGGTTCGGGGATGTGTACCCTCTGTAACTGGCCAGCAGTAGCCGTATATGTGGCACCTGCCATATGAATTCATTTTGTCTTAATGCTGACACTTGGGAACAATCTGATGGGATACGATCGTATCTCTGCAGAGAATTCAGTTGTCGTGGCTTGGTGAAATACTTGACATGTAACTAAGCTGTTCCTTAAAACGTTTTCAGGCTGAGCTGTGTAAGAAATAACATCTGGCTTGCATGCTGTGGAGTGCTTTCCTCCGGTTTAGCTGTATTAAGCAGCTTTGGATTGATGATGTACTGTGGAGTACCGTTTGTGGCAACTGTAGCAAATGCTCCATTTCTTATTCTTGGTAAGTAGAAAAAGTGTGTTGGGCTCCTGTATGAAGAGAAAAGCTGGAATTAAAACAACTTGACAGTGCTACTCTCTTGTGGGTGTTGGTTCATAAGTAACCTACTCCTGTGGAGATACAGCTTCCTTCAGCCTCCTACAGCACGGTGACCTGGTCAGATTAGTGTGTGGGTACACTAAAAGCAGCAGAAGGGCTGCTTCCAAAAAAACAATGCCTGCCCTCATTTTGCTGTTCTGCACATTGACCACCTTTTCTTGCAGTACACTGAGAGCTGCCTATCTGGCTGCTTCACATCTGTTTCAAGGTAGCTCAGCAACAAGTACAATGGAACATATTCCCCATGTGCAACTTAGGCTAAACTAGCAGTGACTTAAGCCAGTACATGTATTATGAGTTGAATATTGGAAATAAGTTACCGTGAGCTTTTCTATAAGAGTCAAATGAATTTGAGCCTGAATAAATCAATATTGTCTGCTATTTTAAAGAAGTTCATCTTATTTCGGTCAGATGTGAAATTTCCTATACAATGTAATGACTATATTTTGGTCTCATTTTGGTATAACATTGAAGAAATGCTTTTTCTTAGAATCACCACCCTCCAAGAGCACAAAGAATTTACTGAATATCACTGTGTCACAGTTCCACAGACGACAGCCAGAGCTTAGCTTTCAAAACATCTTCAGATAATGTTGCTGCAAATAAATTAGGGCTTGCTGTTCATCCTCTCCTGGGTTTCTGGCTGATGCTCGGAGAGATGAGTCCCAATCCCAAACATTTAAAGGTCACAAGCTTGGTTACAAACCATGAGACATTTAAAGAATAAAATCTGTGTGCTTTTTATTTTTCTGCTTTGTGGGTTTGGATGTCTGCTTGTGTTTACGGTCTGTTAGGTCACACTTTCAGGCTTTCCTTCACAGTATGAAAGGTACAGGCACAAGTGGCAGGGCTGAGCACTGAGATCACTCCTTAATCATTGTATGCTAGAAGCTGCTCTTTTAGGCAAACTGTTCCATCAGAATCAGAAGTTGGGATGTAGGGGGAACTTCGTGAGGGGGGCACACTCAGTGCTGCTGCCAAATGTTTTGAGGAATTTACTGATAATTAAAATGAAAGCTGTTTGTAAAAGTTATCTCAAGAACTCTTGATGTTTCCCTGATAGCAATAATCATTCCTTGTTCTTTCATATGCATCAGAGATAATGAATTTTTTTAATAGTCCTTTACTAGAGGAGAGAAGATAAACAGAGAGTGAAGAGGGAATGGGAGTGACTTGCAAACTTCAGTGACTTCTCCCTGTCTGCAGAAGACATACAAGAAATAATTGGCCTAATTTGCTGCAGATTCCAGGGATAGCAGGAGTGCTTCTAAAGATGAGAATAGAGAAGTATCACAATAAGCAGTGTATCTGTACCTCTGTCATCTATATCGGTGGGTACTTGAACAGCAGACACAAAACACTTGTCAGAGATGGGTGAGGTGTGCTCAGTCCTCCAGCAGAGCTGGGTGAAGGATCAATGATGCGACAGGTCACTATGAGTTTTCGAAAGGTCGTAGAGTCAAGTGCCTCCAAAGGACGTGTTTTCTTGTATCTTCAACTCACATCAGCACTGAAGCAAGTAGCCTCGCTTGCTTTTTGAAAATTCTGTGTAGCTTAAGTGCTGCTTATGTGATACTTTTGCTGGGTGTCGGTGGAAGCCGCCTTGTGCTATGCAGAGTTAACTTTTTTTTCTCTTGCAGGAGTTGGTGTGGATGACATGTTTATCATGATCTCTTCCTGGGAACAAAGCTCAAGCAAGGCAGACAAATCAGACACCAAATCTCGGCTGGCCGAGACTTACAGAGAAGCAGCGCTGTCTGTGACAATCACCACTCTCACAGATGTCTTGGCCTTCTTCATTGGCACCTGGACTTCTTTTCCTTCTGTGAGGTCATTCTGCCTCTATACCGGCACGGCCTTTGTCTTCTGCTATGTCTACGTTATTACCTTCTTTGGGGCAGTTATCGTGTTAAATCATAAAAGGGTGAAAGGAAACCGACACTGGTTAACTTGTGTGCAAGTGAAAGTAGGAAAGGAGTCCTGCTTGTATAACACATGTTGTTTAGGCAGCTGTTCTAGTGAGCCGCCTGAGCCAGAAACCAGTGGGACAGAAAGCGAGCATCCCATGAGCATATTCTTCAAAAAGTATTATGGCCCTTTCTTGACAGGTAAATGGACCAAGCTTCTTGTGGTGGTGCTGTACGGAGCATATTTGGGTGGCAGTATTTATGGATGCACCCAGATGAAGGAGGGCATAGATCTTCGAAATCTGGCTAGTGATGACTCTTACGTTATTGCCTACTATGACGACGATGACAAATACTTCTCGGAATACGGACCCAGGGTCATGGTTGTCGTTACTGACAGCGTAAACTACTGGGACGAGTCGGTTCGTAATGACATTGAGGCTTGCGTCCAGGATTTAGAGAACATTAACTATGTAGACAGGAACCTCTCGCTGTCATGGCTGAGAGTATACACAGAAATTGCTGGAAGTGGTTTAATAAGTATAAACAGTAAGGATCTTTTCATTAATAACTTAGCTGTGCTATTCCAGTACTCTCCCAGTTTTGAGTGGGACGTTAACAAGACTGCGGGAGGAATAGCAGCTTCTCGTTTCTTCATCCAGACAGTGAATGTCACCTCAGCTGTTGACGAGAAAAATCTGCTAAATCAGTTAAGAGAC